TTTGCATAGAAAAATATTTGCATTCAGACAGAAAGTTTTTTGAAATATTTGCAATTGCTTTATAAGAAGGATTTATTAATAACCGTAATAATTACTTATTATATTACTGATGATTAGGATTCAGTTCTTGACAATTACATTCTAAATGAGAATTTTAAGGATATAATGAAAATAAGCTACGCACAAAAATACATTTTAGCATAAAAAATGAGTTGATTTTTTATGTTTTAAAACTTCTTAAATTTATTTAATAAACATCGTATCCTCGTTGTTAATTAAATCCAGAATGTTGGGTGTCGTTTATATAATTATTCTTACTTGTCTACAATAGAATAAATGCGTTCTTTAAAATTCACTCTATTTGTTTACCATAGCGACACTCTGGCGCTAGGTTCACTTAACAGTATTATATTTCGTTCATAATATAACTCAGAATGCACAAAATTTATATCATTTAAAGAACTATCTAAAGATTGAATAGAACTGCCACATGTTCTATTCAAATACTATAATAAAGCTAGAACGATGTATAAAATAAATTAAGCAAACAAAACAAAAAAAAAGAAACAGTTTTTCACAGACGATTGAGTATTTCTCATTCAATTAATTCAGTTCTCACTTCGCGACAAGGCAAAAATACATAAAAACTCAAAATATCTGCATTAAAAATTACGAAGTAAATATTACACTTATTTCCTCTAAAAAATTCCAGAAAGGATTAAGCATCATTTAAATAATAAATGAAGGCGTTATCTTTGTTGTTGCGAAGCTAAGTTTTCTAAATTGGCAAAAAATCCACTATTCTGCTGTTTCAAATGTAAACAAGCAATGTCCGCCATCAAAAAAAATTATTAGGCTTAGCGGCACTTAAACAACTTTAAAATTGTTTATAATTTTAAAAATACTGCATACAGATTTACTAAAGGCATAAAAACTTTAACGGGAAGATAAAAACAACATAATTCAATCATTTTTAAAGCAAAAAAATGTACAATTTACAAACATATAAGAGTAAAGAAACTGAGATCCCTGAGCCGGGTAACAGAGTGGATATATATATAAATATATTTATATACGTTTGGTGCGGCCGATTGCAACCAAAATACGAGGTGCACATCTCCATGTTATAGTAGTCCTATATACAAAATTTCAACGTTCTAAGGCTACTCGTTTTTGAGTTATGCGAGATACGTACGTACGTACTTACATACGTTCGTACGGACGCCACGAAAAATTCTCTTCAGAATTCATTTTTAAAGCAGTTTTATAATTTTTTTGGAGGAAAAAAGTCTTTTATTCTGTCCTTACGTATAGATATCACGCAAAAACATCGTTAAATTGCATTCGAAATTCGTACAAGGAAGTAAAAAGGAAAAGGAAAATACGTTGCTTTAAATTACGAAGTTCGCCAAGTAAATTATTCTTGGCGAAAAAAAAAAAAAAAAAAAAAAACGCCGAGATAAATTTTTTAATTTGTCCGTAAATTTTACAAAATTTAATATTTAGCCATAATATGAGTCGTAGAATCGAAATATGGAAAAAAATGACCTATTATTTCAGACAACGTCTGATTTTGTGTCAAAATACATATGTTAGAATGATGCTATATATAAATCTAATATATATCCTAAGTTGCGCTTTCGAGACATGGAAAACGCAATTTGGATTTCGTCGATTGGCCCAGTAGAACGGGAGATATAAAACCGTACCCCTTTTATTTTCGCACTGTACATATCGTTTAGTTATATGTAAAATGTTTATTATTAACCCTTTTCTTAGAAAATGATCAGATTAAAAATTTAATTGAATAAAGAAAAACATTTATTTATGTTACGTGATCTTTAAGGTAGTGAACTAATCTTTAAACCAAGACATTCAGAACAGTTCATTATACTTGCGTAGGCCATCGGTCAAAATGTACCTACACTCGTCAACAGACCAGTATCAATAACGGTGAAATTTGAATTTTAGTTTCATATAACCAAGAATGATGTTATTGCTAAAAAGAATTATATTTTATTTTTAGTCCGAAGGGGCAATTTGTCCAGAAGGACTATTAATTTCGTTTTGGCATTTTGAGTTCGTTCACTATAAATGTCGGTTCACTTTTCAAATTGTTACCACTAAATATTATCGTCCTGTATTATATTTAAAGAAATTAAATAATGAAGAATTTTCATAAATATATGTATGTTTCTCGCATTGTGATAAAACAACGGTACCTAGATCCATCAAACTTTGAATAACGTTCGTTTCCAACCGAACATGGGCATCTGGAAGCCCAAATTTGGAATTTCTTTTATTATATATATCATATTTTGTAAAACTGTTAAGAATTTTAGTTTAACGAACTCAATGATTTCAAACCGAGCAATGGCAAAACTGTACAAAAAAAAAAAAAAAAAAAAAAAAAAAAAAAAAAAAAAAAAACATTTTGTATCTCTAGCGCGCGAGACTGCGAGTCAGAAATTCTAAAGGATATGCTCATTTTAAAATTATTTTATGATATTGCTGTTGAACTGAATTTTATGGTTTAAGTGCGAAGAACATGATATTTAATAAATAAAGGTAATACACAAAACGTTAACAAAGTCTCTTTGGGCGTAATGTAAAATGTGAAAGCTTTCAGATTTATTTATTTATTTTACTGTACCAAATAACTTACAATATACAGAGTAAGCACTCCGCAGCAGCCATCTTTAAAAATGACCGATATTTCTCAGAACATATAGAAGTATATAAAATGCACATCACTTCTCTAAGCCGACTATTTCTATACAGCAGCCAAAATCATCTGCAACTGTGGGTAGTTTTAAGGGGTATCAGAAACCCCTATACCGACAATGTTAAATTGGCCATTTTCGATGTACCTTTTCTCAAAATCTGCTGTAGATACAAGCTTGAATTTTTTTTCTGTAATTAAAGTATACCTATCTGATTATACTGAAATGAACTTTTGAAGCATTTTGAATTTTAGAGTAAATTACAGAATATTTTGTTAGGCATAGTAAAATTTAGCACTTTTCTCACACAAAAAAATTAAATTTTTTTTTCTAAGTTTATTACAAAAAGCTCATTTCAGTAAATATTAGGGAACCTAATAAAGCCATAAAAAGTTTAGATACTTGTGTGTGTTCCTGAGAAAAGGTACATTGAGTATAAAAAAATCACATTTGGAGAAAAACGCGTTTTTATGTAAAAATCCTCATTGATCAAAGCAGTAGATGACAAATTAAAACTAGATTTTTTTTACAGTTACAAAATATAACTTTTTAATCTGTACTTATATTTAGTAAAATTTTATGCTAATTATAAAAAATAAAACACAAGAAATCTGACTGTAGTACGGCGAAATTTGACAATAATATTTTATTTAAAAATTTGAGATCATTTTCTCAAAATCCAGAGATCGTACACAAACTGAAGAATATCTAAATTTATATACAACTGAAAATAAAATATCTATTCATGAAAAAGTATCTGATGATAAGAGCTTTAAGTCACAAATATAGATATGCAAATGGTCATCAGACGTTTTGATCAATGTAAATTTTTCAAAAGGTCTTATTCCAAGATTCTTTCAGAATTCGTGTTCTAGAAAACGGCGGCAGGTTTGGACTACTGGCATAAATTGAAAATATATCCATAAATTAAAAATGAAAATTATTTCTAGTTCAATGAATTTTTAAATGACTTTAAATTATGATCCTAAAGTGATAAAACTGCAAGTAAATATCACTAACGTATTTTTAGCATTTGGAAACTTACAAATTACTTATGCGAAAACGCTTTCGGATTAACATACGTAACAAAATTATAAGTTAAAGAATATTACACAATAGTAAATCACAATGCAACATCACTGAATAAATTTTTAAAGAATTAACCCGGAATATCTTAATTTCTCTTTTAATTGATCCCTTCAGGAAAATGATAAATTTGGTTTTCCACCTGAAAAATCTCTAAAAGTTCCAAATTTTAAAACAAAATCTCGATCAATTTTTATCCTACGGAAGTCAAATGTTTTGTTTTTATTATGAGTATAAAATATTTTCAAAATATAACCAAAAACACCGGGAAACTTTATAAAAAGGTTAGATTTCGTAACTTTTACAAAACTGATTTTGTTTTTAATTAAAATGAATATCTGTGTCATTCAAGGCATTTTGTAACTAGAAATACATGTCTGTGACCAACGGTTGGGAAAACAAGGTTCGTGTAAGGAAATTAATAGACGCGATGTTGATAGTCTTAAATGAAAGTTTGGTTTGTATTTTAATCTACACCTTCACGTTGGACATGAAACAGGAACAAACTCTCAACTTTACTCACTAAATCGTTTCCAGTGGTATCCGTACTGCTGGCGTTTTCTGGGACGCCAGCAGTACGGATGTAAAAATATGGGACTGGAAAACTGGGTTGTTGCTCAATGCAATTTGATTTCTATCTTCTAGATATTTTCATAGATACCTATATTGTTTTGGTCGCCTGCTAGTGTACAGTTTCGATGGAAAGTCTACTACTACGAGTGATGAAATATGGTATTATCATCTAAAATGCGCATGTGTGCAAAATTTCAAGAAAAAACTCTGCAGAAATAGGTCAAATATTGATTTTCAAATTTGGTCCATACAAACAAACAGAGAAAATCAGGCTAAATAAAACTGTATGGGAAAAGACTATTTCAAGTAAAAATATTTATCATAGCAATAACTGCATTAACTAAATAGAAATTTATTTTTGTCGAGCTCTAAGCATTTAATTTTGATATTAAATATAGAATTTGCGCCAAAATGAAGAGGAGAAAGAATATGATATTGTGATATAATTTCTTTCAAAAAAATTATTCATTTCCTTCAGAAACCTAATCTCATGTGATTTTTTTTTTGGGGGGGGAAGATGGGAAAGAATAATATACGCGCAACTATTATGCGGATGTAGCGTTTACGGTATCTTCTTCCAAAATGATTGTTTTAAAAAAAGTTTCTTTTTTTCCCCAGTTCAGGTTAGTCCGGGATACAATGAAGCAGCTCGATTTGTCGACGGAGGAGGCTTGGACAGCAGGTACCGATTTCTACAAGTGCACTTTCATTGGGGCTCCGATAGCAAAAAAGGATCGGAACACACTATCGATGGCCAGCGTTTTCCTTTGGAGGTAAAGTATATGTCAAAGTATCAGATATATAACATATTTATTATAAGATTAACGGTACTTGAACACTAGCCGGCACCGCCAACCTTTTTTTTTTTTTTTTTTCCTGAAAAGTTATTCTCGTGACAATGCTTTTCCTCACACATTTTGAACATTTGCATTAGTTTTTTTACGCACTTTTTAAAAAGACAGCCTCGAGGAAAGTGCATTTTAGTTTCTTTGGAAAATACAAAAAAATGTATACATTCTTCGTTTTATTCAAGCCCATGAACAGAAACAGAATTCCTAGAACTTGTAATATTCATGTTTTCTTTAAGCAAGACGATATGTGTTCAAAATGAAATCTCATTTATTGCATTTAGAATAAGCTGATTTATAAGAAAACTGAATGATTTGATACAAAACCAATCAATAAAGATCCATCGACGGGCTGAAGAGATAAGCATGCTAAACCTCAAATGTGCCACCCTGTCATCAGCGCAAAAGGCACCATGAAGCTGATTTTTACTTCTTTCCCTTTTTTCAGTGTCAACTTACCACCAATTAGACTAACCACGTATCTGCATTGCGTCATTTTTGATGAGCCTTTCACAGGCAAAGTTCTCGAGACAACGTCTGTTTATCTCGTGCAAATTTTTACAGCCTTTTGCATCCCGCGTCCACAAAATTTTCGGAGAAATGAAGCAGAACCAATTCATTACTTTCAGGGATATATTTTGCCAAAAGATAGACAATGATCCATATTTAACGCAATAACATGACGGAGGCGGATGATGAAAATGTGATGTTAGCAAAATTGCTAACAAAATGTTACAGTAAGAGTTAACTCTTGCATTGAGAGATGTCATTTGCCTTCTTATTTAGCAGGATATATAGAGAAGCAGAGATAACCTGCTGAGAGTAAAAAATCTGCTTGATGCGATATGGAATCCGTTTGCTAAACAGCACCCGCCGGATATTAAAAAAAATATATCCTCGATCTGATGACGTCGAAAATATATTTCATCGCCAACAGACGCCAGCATATTTTTGGCAGGATATCGGTGGGTGCCAGCTAATAACCCAAGTATCAAATTCTCTTTTGGAATCTTATCAAAATCAGTCGTTGGCTATACGGAAAGCAGGTTATATAGCATTTTGGCTAAGCGGGATTTTACTTTATTGAATAGGAAGGCAAAATATGACAAACGGCGGAATAAATTATCTCTTATGAATATGACTTTTACCAAAACAAAAGCAATATAAAAAAATGAAAGAGAAAAGAACTCCAATCTGATCATTTCAGATACTTAATACCAAGTACCATAGCAAATAAGCTCCAACTCAGCTGCTTCCAACCTCATTTCTCTCGCGTACTCCTTGATAAGACTCCGTAATTATAGAGAGTTCTTATCTACGTCTTCCAAACTTATGACCCTCTCACTCCATCTCATAGAATATCTTACTATTGTATTATTTAATTACAATAAAATTAATTGGATGTAAAGAATAAAGTTATAAAAATATAATCAAACAAAAAGTGGGTGTTGCATTATTTATTTCAAATAAATCATATCACATATACATATTTAAAGCAAAACGTAACATTACCAATGTACTTAAGCATATCCAAAAGTTTCCGGCCTTACAATATAAAAAATTGTTTAGCAATAAATTCCATTTAATACATTTATGGTAATACTATATGAACAAATCTAAAAGTTTTGTTGGAGAAATCCAGTGCGTTCGTTTTTGATTGTTTATTAAAGAAGTGATCCGTTAGTTTTTCCTGAAATGCTTAAAACTGAGCCATATTCTGATTACATTTTTGACTAAAGAAGGCGTGAATCCCAAAGAAATACAATAACGTTTGGATATCATGCGTGCGGTGCTTGTCTTTTTCATATTCTACTGTCAAAGAACGGGCAAAACAATTTCTCATGGGATAAGAATCTGTAGATCAGAGGCGGTTAACATTTGTATTATAAATCTTTTTCTTCAAAATGTGTCGCGATCTACTTGCTAAAATTTTGCTATTTAATCTAAGGAGGGGTTATTAAACCAGTACGGTATTTTATTAATAATACGTATTTATTAATTGAAAAGTAGCAACTAAAAATATAGATTAAATTTTATCTTATTATTTTATCCTTAATGTGAAGTCAGCATCTGCATGTCTCCACCCAAGTGTTCAAAATTTGATGTGTATTCTTACAGAATTAATGAATTTTCAGTGTGGCAGTCAGTAAGTAGGGAATGATGCTTACCCTTCGTGAACATAAAATATGAAAAAGCCGATTAACACAAGTATGTAAATACAAAACAAGAATAGACATATTCGTTATATTTGGTGATGTTCAAGATTAGGTCATCAGTTTGTGGATTTGTAATTTCATTTTCTAATGCGTTTTTTCCTTATTAAATGTATTAGAAATTTTTCGGCAATATGTTTTACATTCAAATCCTTGTTAAAACGAAAAAGATAGATATTGCACAATAACTTTCATTTTTTCAAAACGATGAAATCTGATCTCAGAGTCTTCAATCACCTCTTCAGTTTCTGCAACGTGTTTTTCAATGTTATAATTACAATTTTGATGTAGGTGATCAGATATATTTGGAAAAAACTGATTCAAACTGCTTTGTTGAAGATCATCTATTAGCACAATAAATTTTGTTTTGCATGCATTAATGCTGCTGATCATTTTCTTTTTTCTTTCCATTCCAAATTTAAATTGCTTAATTTGGATGTAAAATCTGTAAGGAACCCTAAATTACTGAGCAAAGTTTCATCATTTTAATTTGCACTTTCTTGGTCTCTTTCTTCGAGAAATTTTTTTATCTCAGTTAATAAATCTCAAAATCTTTGCAGAAATTTACTTCTATTTACCCACCTTACATTAGTATGTAATATCAACTCTGATTATCGTACATCAAGTTGCAGTTAGAAAAGACGCCATTTGTGAGAACTCCCTCGAATAGAATTAAAAATTACGAATGCTGTGTTCATTATTTCTTTTGTATTCAATTCTTTATTGTCTAGTATTTTAATTACATTTAGTTGACTATTAGTATTTTTTTTATTTTTGATGCAATGCTAGATCAAAACACTTGAAAAACCAACATCAGTTTGGCTCAGAGTTAGGAATTCATTTAAGCGCCTTATCGTTCCTCTTGCGGCCCACCAGCGGCCGAGCGGTAAAGAAGCTGAACACTGGTAGTTCGGTCCGAGGTTCGAATCCGGAGAACGGGCTGGCTACATGGGCGTTTTCGTGGTTTTCCCCATGTGTAACGTTTATACGAGCCAGTTTCCCTTAGAAAGTCCTCCGCGAAGGCATCCATCCCTTTAGACAGATAGCCCTCGTGTGCTTTGCCATAATTGAGTAATCCATCCATCCAATCCGTTCCTCTTGCGCCATCTGTTCTTACTGAAACTAATTTAAAATTTGGAAGTTTCAAATTGCAGAAGAAACATTTAAAACAGGTGAATATATCTACACCTCTAGCTTTTTCTTTTAATTAAATTATACCTATCAACTCTTTTTACATGTATAATCTCCAAATACCATACGAATGAAAATAAATAATTGTGCTGTGTCACTGTCATTTTATCTAATTAAAAGGAAAAGCAAGAACATCTGTAAATGTCGTTTTGGTATAAGTGTTTTCTGATATAATCACTTAATTTTCTCAACCCACAGCACCACAGTATTTCGAGACAGTTTTAGATCTTTATTTGCAGCAATAATTTCAGTCTTGTTCTTAAAATTATGAAAAATTGAATCTGACAGTTCCGAGAAAGTTTCCTTTCAAAATTCCCCGTTTACGCTTTTGTTAACATAGGGCTTACTTTGAATGATGCAGTAGTCCAATGCGCGTGATTTCAACGCGGGCTTTTTAAAAACATTTTGTTAAGCTCATCATTGAGTCTTATTCTTTATAATTTTGTTTCAATTCAAGTCACTTATTTGTAGATAAATTGGACTGCGTTTGACTGTTGAAATCATCTGCTCTCGGCTGTGATCAACTATAAATCGCTTCGAGATAGATCGGTTGATGCCGTTCGGCTTGTTAGCAAATCCTGCAGTAAATGCAGTAATTCATTTTCTTGTGAAAATCGACCATAGTAGTAACTGACAACAGAAAATGTTGCACATATTCAGGAAGAAATATGGAGTGATAAGAGATTAAAAGTCAAGCAGATACTAGCAAAACTGGATTTGCCTCAAACAACTGGTTTGCGCATTCTAACATGAAAAAAATCTGAGCAAAATGAGTACAACGAACTATTTTCAGAAATTCAAAAACAACAACGGATCAATGCAATTCAAAAACAGCAACATGGTTTAAGGAGCTTGACCGCCCTTAAACCACTAACAGCATACATATTTTTAAATGAATGCTTGATAAAATGCACTAACAGCATATATATATATATATTTAATTTAACGACGTATAAATGCTTTTTCGGATTAACCGAGTATTCATTAATCTAGTAGTTGCATATCGCATAGAGGTCGGCTAAGGTTATTCGGATATGACAAAGCTTTGAAGATCCATCTGCCCAAGAGGTAAGATGTCGTTGTGGAAGATTTTCAAATGGAAACTGGATCATATTCACGTTACACGCGGGCAAAACTATGAAAATGAAGCATGTAGTTAGCCTGTTCACTTGGAATCGAATCCGTAATTATAAAGACCCCTAGTTATTTATAATTCAATTTTTAATTATAATAATGCACTAATGTGATAATAAATAATTTGTGAGAGGCTTGAACTACTTCGAGGGAAATACAATAATGTTTCATTAAAACCTGAAATGAAGTATTATTGTTTTCATTATATGAAGGGCCCACCAGCGGCCGAGCGGTAAAGTCGTTGAACACTAGTAGTTCGGTCCGAGGTTCGAATACTGCGAACGGGCTGGCTGCATGGGCGTTTTCGTGGTTTTCCCCATGTGTAACGTGTATACGAGCCAGTTTCCCTTAGAAAGTCCTCCACGAAGGGATCCCTCCCCTTAGGCAGATAGCCCTAATGTGCTTTGCCATAATCTCAATAAACCAAACCAAACCAATCATTATATGAAGAAAAGAGAATCGATGAAATTTTGTCCTCTCAAAATAAAAGCCTATGCTAGCTTATGCTCCATGATCTAAAGAGACCTGTTTAAGGAAAAAAGGGGGAGCTGATTGATTATCATCTTAATGTTCCAAAATTGTACACATATTTTAGGTTTGAATTTGGCATTTATTCCAAACATTAACCTACTTACTTGCAGGCTTTTGTTATAATTATTCTGGTGAAAATGTCGCGGCTATCGCTTTAAGAATAGATACAAAGCATCGTTTTCTTTAGCGAATTAGCGGTAAAATTCATATTCCTGAAGAAAGTTTATTGCAGTTTCTTCAACTGCAGACAAATTCCACAAATCCATATTTTAAAATAGAATGTAAGGCAAAAACTCTCACTATCCATGTATAAAAGTCACTGAAACTTGGAAGCGAAGAAAAAGATCGCATACAAAAATAACAGACTAGCTTATTAAAACTCAAGAGTTATTCTGCGCGTGATTGCTAGAGTTTGGCGTATTCTGAAAAATCTGGTGACAGTGCTAATACGCAAATATCCAAGGGACTTTTGCCAACCCACGTACAGCTTCTGATATTTTACTTTCGCTTCCTTTCGTTTTACTAATGTACTATGTATTTCTTACCATTAAAACAATTAAAAATAAAATTAATTCAAACACTTATGTTTTTATGTAACCAAGTCCTAATAACTGCTAAGCATTAAATTCTTTCAGATGCACTTAGTTCATATCAATACGAAATATAAGACGAAAGAACAGGCTGTTCATGAAAAGGACGGAATTGCTGTACTTGGAATTCTCTTTAAGGTAACTATTTATTTATTTATTGTCACTTGGTTTGTTTTCATAACTGCTTCTTAGTGTTGGTCTTGTTATTAAGATTTAGTATTTAACATCAACATTAAATATAGTCGTAAATTTTCATAAATAGTTAGGATGCATTTCATTGTCTTTCAGTAGTTCATGCTTTTATTCCTGTACTATGATTCTCAACCTATCAACCTCAGTTTAAATTCGAAATAAGGGCTTAAACATTCCAGATTTTATGTGATAAATTTACAATATATTATTCATAAAAATATTTGGTATTTTGATTATTCACATTATCGCTTTCAGCATTCAATAAAATTCCCGTGTTTTGGCGTATTTTCAATATTACACTTGACAACACCCAGCTCATGCAAGTGCTCATACACTTGAGTACACGTGGATTTATATGTTTTATAGTTAAGCATCTTTTCGCTTAACAGTATCCTTGGATCATACAAATTTTTATTTATGATTTCCCTGGTGCAGATAATCAAAGTACCAAATATTATAATAAAAATAAAGGAATTTATTTATTCCGACGAAGATTTTGCAACTTAAACTAAAATATACAATTAAAAATAATAATATTTCCACCTTTGTTTGCTTTTAAGCGATCTGGATCTCGTATATCTGAAAAATAAAGTTCAACTGCGGTTAACAGAATTTTTGTTACGACCCTTTGGAGATTTATGCGAATTTTTATGGTTACAGCCGCAAAAGATTTCTTTAAACATTAAGAAAAGTCACTCTTAAAATCTTCAGTTCCACATTTTAATATTTATATATTTGAAAAATAAATATATATATAAATCCATTTGAAGCAAATTTAATAAAAATAATTAATCACAGAACCTTAGAATAATCCGAAACCACTTATTGTCCAACTTAATATATTCGATATTCAGACTTTAAAAATGATGCATTTTAAAAATGATGCAAATGATGCACCTGCAAAAAATTCTTAACAGATTGTTTGTCGCATCTGAGTCGAACTGTTGCCAAAGGTGTGTACAGAGACTTAATAAATAAAATAAATATATGTTTTCCATATATATGTTTTCCATACAGTTTTCAATGAAATTCGCGGCCTGAGAACCATTGTTTTTAAACATGGATAAAATTTCTTTTTATTCTGAAGTACTGAGTAATTTTTAAATTTATTTCTTTTCTTTATTCCTTCCCCCCTTTTTTGCCAATCAGAACACGAACTGAGAACTTAAAAGTATGATACGTATATCTCCGCTGGATATTACGAAACATTTTAATTGTGAGCATGTGGTTTAATTATCATGCATATGACTGCGGACTAGATCTTAAGTGTAAATACAGCTTCAAATAGCTCCGTTTCAGGTTATTCTCAGCCGAAAAAGGCCTTTTAAGCCGAAAACGTCTTGGGTAAAGTCTTACTATCACCACGAGAAATCAAGATCGATAACCAAGTACAGAAACCTATGCATTCACGCATGATTAATAACGAGGCCTGAATATGAAGCTAATTCAAAATAAGTAACACGAATATTTATACAATGCTGTTTAAAATATATTGTTACGAAATTTTTGTATATGTAAATAATATTAGTGAAATTATATATAAAATTGTACTATCTCTTGTTTAATGTAATAGAAAAGCCTCAAAATAGTGAAGCATCGCCGGAAAAATAAGATTACACAGGCAAGTCCATTTATCATTACTCTAAATGGCACTGGCAATATAGCACCAAACTGCCGATAGTTTTGGCGAGAAACCATCGAAAGTCGCCAAACATTTGGCGATATTTTATAATAAATATAATCTCTATAATCGCCGATTCCTGTATAACTGTATTGGTTTAATCCCTATATGTAACTATATATGCCTTCCAGCAATTAGAAATCGAAGGTACTGAAAATTTCTCAGCGGACGGGGGGAAACTATTTAAGACCGAAGAGAGCATCAGTTCTCAATTTTAGTTCAGAGTTTAGCTTAGATTATTGAGAGAATGTGCTTATTTACACTCTTAAACAAAAAAAAAAAAAAAAAAAAAAAAAAAAAGGACGCACCAAGGAATTATCCGAATGGGACGAAAATTGGTAGAAGTGATGTACATGTACAGAAAAACAAATGATTACAGTTTGAGAAAAATTGCATATTTGTTCAAGCGATAGAGCTTTACAATGTCAAAAACTCAGTAACGCCGGCTTGGCATCGATTGATAGAGGTTGCGGATGTATTCTTGAGGGATATCGTGCCAAATTCTGTCCAACTGACGCGTTAGATCGTCAGCATCCGCATGGTTGGAGGGCCCTGCCCATAATGCTCCAAACGTGCTCAATAAGAGAAAGATCCGGCGACCTTGCTGACCAAGGTAATGTTCGGCAAGCAGGAGAAACATGTGCAGTGTAAGGGCGGGCATTATCTTGCTGAAATGTAAGCCCAGGAGGGGCGTGACATGAAGGGCAACACAACGGGCCTTAGAACTTTGTCGACGAACCGCTGTGCTGTAAAGTTGCGAGGGATGACAACCAAAGAGGTCCTACTATGTAATGACATGGCACCCCAGACCATCACTCCTGGTTGTCGGCCTGTCTGCCGGAAGACACTCAGGTTGGTATCACACCGCTGTCCGGCGAGTCTCCAGACTCGCCTTCGCTGGTCATCGGGGCTCAGTTCAAAGCGGGTATCATCACTAAAGATTATTCTACTCCAGTCAGTGGCATCCAGTATGAATGAGCCAGACATCACTGCAAACGGGCTTGACTTTGTACAGTGGTCAATGATAGTCGGCACAAGTGCCGCCGTGACCTCAGCCCCCTTTCTGTGAGCCGTGTATGAATGGTCCTTGCGGTCACTGAAGCACTAGTTGCACGTACAATCGATGATAATGATGCATCTGGGGCTGTGAGTGCCGCTCTGACGATTGCTCGGTCTTCACGTTCTGTCGTTTCTCTAGGCCTACCGCATCGTTCTTGACGCCGTGTGCGGCCATGGTTCACCCATTCCTGCCAACATCGTCTAATAGTGGCATCACTCTTGCTCAAATATCCAGCTATTCGCCGATAAGACCAACGGGCTTCTTCGCACCCAACTACACGACCTCTCTCAAATTCTGACATCTGCGCATATCGTTTGTGCCCCTGTATGCAAGGCATAGTTACTGTCTACCAGAGTACACGGAATGAAATTCGTGAATAATTTATGACCTGGAATCGTAATTTCTCCTCTTCAATATCCTGCCAGTTGCGCAAATCAGATGCGATGTAGCGACAACCGTTCATTCATTGGCAAACAAAATGTAAAATTTTGTATTTTTAGTCGAAATCTGTATGCAATATCAATTTGTGTCCAATTTTCTTTATATCTTCTCGGTGCGTCTTTTTTTTTTTTTGTGTGTGTGTGTGTGTGTGTGTGTGTCTGTCTGTCTCTCTAAGAGTGTATATGAATGTGCTAGCCTACTGTTGCTACTGTTGCTTTGGTTGCGTATTCTAAATAATAATGGAACAAGTTTCAATACTAAATCTAAACTCTTTTTGTAATTGCTTATAATATAAGGAAAGCTTAAGTAAGCATAAACAGCATCATGAAGTATATTAATAATATACAGGGTGGTTATAATTAAAGTTCCACTTTGAAATGGTCATAAAAGGAAAATTACTAGACCAAATGTTATCAAACTTGGTAATCGTGTAAAGGAGATCATGGGAATTTATCTTCCGCGAAATAAAATAAAGTTCAAAAACTCACTATCAGGTGGGAAATGGCGCTGTATGCAATATTGTTAAGCGAAATAAGACATGGAGACACGTCTTTAATCGTTTCTGAAACATGTTACGAAGCATGTTCAATGTGGCGTCTACCATTTTCCAAAAGCAAGTTAAATTGTACTACTGCAGTCTCAACAGCAGCTCTTAGCATATCAGGAGGAACATGTCGGGGTATCGCATCTTTCAATTCCGCCAAATTGTTTCGATTATCACCATAAACAGTGCTTTTGAGATAACACCATAGCCAAAAGTCACAGGGGTTGAGGTTGACCGGCGCGATCAAGAAGTGGAGAGGTGTCGACCTATAATCCGTTCATTCGTGAAATGTTACCTAAATAACTGTCTGACCGATGTGCGGTGGGCCTTGTCCTGTATAAAAATCGTGGAATCTAAAATGACACGTTGCTGCAGTTCAGGTATCACGAAACGTCTTAACATTGACGCTAAGCGAACTGCGGTCACAATGCATGTAACTGGTCCAGCTGTCAACGACTCTTCAAAGAAAATGGTCCAATTATGAAACTAGCTGTCACACCACACCAAACGCTGACTTTAGGAGAATGCAATGGAACTGAGCGATTTGTAAGAAAACGATTTCCAGAATGCGCACACTTTTGAGAGTGATTTGCGATCTCACATTTTCTAATCTCTAATTTGCGGTTTTCAAAGACAGATTTTTCCGTTACACGGATGGCGCACTCCACTTTTATCACCTTTAAATGGTAGTTTTATTTAGTTCAATGTTTCTTAAGGGTATACAAAATGTGAAACCGATGTAACAAAAGGTTAAGTTAGATTCCGAGCCTTATTTCGTTTAACAATATTGCATACAGCGCCATTTCCCCCCGCTAGTAATGAGTTTTGAGCTTTACATTTTTTTTTTTTTTTTTTTTTTCAGAAAATAAATTCGCAAGACCTTTATACAATTACCAAGTTTCATAATACTTGGCCCAGCAGTTTTATGACCATTTCAGAGTCGAACTTTAATTATAACCACCCTGTAAATTAACAATCTGGTATTATATGTATTATGAGTTAGCTAGTGAGGTTTGAAAAGTAAGCGTATGAGTAGTTCCTTATGTTAGTCGTCCAAATACAGAGCTCTTACTTTTAGAATTCATTCGAGAGCTTCAGAGAGTTCTCAGTATTTATTCTGTGTGGTACATTTTGCAAACTGGATTAGACAAATTCTAAATTTTCTGTTATATTTTAAATTATCTGATTTTGCCATTATTGCAAGCGATGTCAATAGAATTGTGGAATTATTGTTCGATGATCCTCCTGAAATTACTCATTTCTGGAGATATATTGCATATCATTGCTCCTTCGACAGCAGTTCTTTCCTTGCAACTACATCACATATCCTGTAATAGACTGTTCACGGACTATTATTGCAACAAGGGCATCTTAGAGATAATGAAGCAAGTGAATGAAAATAATTATATCCAAGAAACTTAAGATTAATGTAAAATGTAGAAAGGCGCCCTAACCGTCAGATTGCTAGCAATGACTAGGATGACTTCCTAACCCTATAGTGCCATTAATTTAGTTTGGCGGAACAGGTTAAGTAAAGTGACCATATCATTGCTCAAGTCTGGCACTGGACGAAGAATTACGATTTTTGTAATGTCAAGTGGAAACATTACTGAAGAAATTATTAATTCTGTTCTATCACAACATATTGTCTCCCATCTTTTAATAGCTGGACTGTTTGACTTAGAGATTTTAGCCTGAATGGTGAACTCATAGAATATTCTTATCTTCATGTGGATGGCAGCAATATATAAAAAAAAACCAATACTGGTTGTTAAGCAGCGCGCGAAGGTTAATTTTTTAACACAATATATGGCATTAGAGAAGTATGTTTGGACAATTATAATATTTATTTAAATGTTTTATAAAAAATATTAATTATGTATAATATAAACCACATGAACCATATATATTTTTAAAACCGAAATGAAAGACATAAATCATTAGCAAGTACATATATACATAACTTTCAAATAACTTAGTAAAGCAACGTGAGCTTGAATCTTAAAGATTTAAAAAAAAATTCCCATAAACAGTTCTTATCGAATCCTCTCTAATAAGCAGATAGCTTTTATGTGCTATACCATAATTATAAATCTAATTCCCTTATGCGATACGACTCTAACAAAAAAAATTATTGTTTGTGACTGCCAAGAATTATATGTACAGCTTGTTATTAATTTGCGTAGGTATCTGAGGAGGACAATCCAGCTCTGGTACCTATCATTGATAAGCTAAATGAAGTTCGAAAGAAAAGTGCCAAAGCCAAACTCGATGACTTTAATCTAGAATCCCTGCTACCAGAAGAGCGCATGCCGTACTACAGGTACGAAGGATCTTTGACCACGCCTCCGTGCTACGAAATCGTCACTTGGACTGTCTTCAAACATCACGTACCCATCAGTGAGAAACAGGTAATATTTTTTTAGCCTTTTATTTCCAGAGTTCTACACCGAAATTTTAGACCTTAATAAAACGGTCTGTGGGCTTATGAATGAATTTCTCTCACACGTAACTGTCACCACACAAACAAAGCTCACGCTGATGTAAAATAAACTAAAAGAAGGGGGAAAGCATTCAGCTTATATTATGTAAAATCTACGTATATTACATAATTTTATTTTTAACTTCATATAAAATCTACGTTAATCTGAAGATTTTTAACATCTCGAAAAGAGATATAATTCTTTTCACTTGAGAATTTCAAGTTCTGGCAAAACTAAAATTCTTGCCCCTCGAGAAAAATACGCTTTATAAAAAAAAATCGTTGCACCAAGGAGAATATTATCACCTACGACAGAAATTGTTATTTTTTCTGAATATGTAGAGAAGCGGAAACGATTCTAAATATACAGCGATCTGATACATCCATTATACCCAAACATGCTTAATCGGTAAAATGTCTGTCGTTTGGGATGAGCATGGAAGTGCACACATGCACGTTGATACTCCATTATGATACATATCAGGCATCACCGAGAATTATCGTACTTATAAATCACCTAACGGGCTACAGTAGATAATGCAACACTATAAGGCATAAGATAACGTCAATGAAGTGCTGCGTAGAGAAGGTGATTGGGAAGAACACCAAATGAAATGGCCGTGCCACACCATAACACCAAACTCAGAGACGGTGCGGTGTGCAGTACTAGAAACTTCATCCAGTCACTGAGTGCTCCGTCTCTATGCAAGTATCCATTGGTCGAACTGGCGTTCATCAAGACAGTCACCGGTCGCATTCTGTCCATACTGCTCTCACAGCACCTCCAAAATGACTAATGACAGAGTCAGAACACAATGAACGCAGTGTGCGAGGATTCCGTATCCAAAGGCATTAGGTAGTCATTTGAGACCTTGTCATCCAATCGGATTGGTTATCAGCAAGGTATCTGGTGTGATGGCCATGTGTTATGCATCTTATAGGATTCATTCGTACCAGTATCATCTTAAACCACATCTCTTCGACCACGGTAATCACCAGCAGAACTGTCGTTTCAAATCTAACGCTTCTTATATCTATATTTTTACTGATGTGTCTGAATACAGCATAGAAGATGGTAATAAAAAAATTTCCAGAATGGTAATAAAAAAATTTCCAGAATGGTAATAAAAAAATTTCCAGAATGGTAATAAAAAAATTTCCAGAATGGTAATAAAAAATTTTCCAAAAATCCAGAATTTATGTAACACTAGCGGAAAATTCTAGTGTTACATCAATTCTGGAAGGCGCGACATGATGTGAAGCCTATTCTAGAGTAAAGCATTTTAAGGAAACATGCGAAACTGATCACAAAATGCACCCACAAGGCATTCGTGCTGGGAATTAGTTCTAGGGTTCCCGGCTACCATCTCTCAAAGTATTAAGGTTTATTTCTTTTTCACTTTTGCGCAGAACTCCTTTCCATTAAATAGTGTTAGAAGCAGTTAAAAATATAGAGAGAGCAACTGTTGATTAGAATGCTTTTGCTGCCTGCATAATGTGTCAGTCCAGTCGAAAATCAACTTGGTCGATAACTCATGAAGATGATAACTTTCATTCACGGTAGCCACTGTAACACTAAAGTACCAATGTTTGAAATGCACTGAATCTTAGAAATACCTAAGAACTATACTGATATGATATGTTTTGAATACTGAAATCTATACATTTCGAACGCTTAAATGTGAAAATGATGAAATTTATTGCAACGTATAAATTATAAGCCTCTATAGATAAATATATATTTTTTCCATTCAAACAACCACCTTTTCTCAAATGATAATTTGCTTTTTTTATTAACTTGATATTTTCCTATTACTAGCATTTTATATTAAAAAAGCGCAATATAATATATCGAAAGTTTGAAATTGAAATCCTTCTTTAAATTTGAGTTTAAATATTACTGAAGAGTACAGATTGAATTTTATCAAAGGCAAGCAGTAAATATTATTCGTATTTATTATAATAATAAAATCCTCTTTAAGCCTCCACTGCAATTTCAAGTTTTCAGAATGTAAGTTCTCTCTCTTTTTTTTTTTTTTTTTTTTTTAATAGAGAGAGAAATAAAAGTAAAACAAAACATGTTTCATTTTTTAGAACCAACATACATAAAATTAATCTCATCATGAAAATAGAAAAGATATATCCCTCTAGGAAAACAAAAATGCAATTAGTTAATTTTGCCATAAAAGTAAAATTATTTGTACTTTCTTTTAAGCAAATTTTTTTAAGTTAATTTATTTATAAGTGTAATACCTTTATTTATATATTATTCACTTAACCATAAAAGGTAAAAAGTTATGTAATTTATTCAACAGAAAACAACACTGAACAAACATTCGGAATTAGGGAAAATTCGGATGGGTTACAGTCTCGGTTACGTGAATAGTTCAAGTTCCACAATATTTTTTATTTATTAACATCCCCAAGAGTTGTATTATTTGCAACAACGATGGAAGTCCAGCCCGTTTCAAATTAACATCAAAAACACAAAACTGTTATTAATCAACGATAACTAACACCTTACCTTCAATATTATAAAAGTGCATCGCTCAATAAAGTTAATCATTTCAAAGTCATTTTATCAGGTTTCCTTAACAGCATTCCGCAATAAGTAATATTTTATACAATGAAGTGCCACTGTTTTAAGCATACTTGATTAGTAACGAGGTGCTGCTCCCAGAGGCGTAGCTAAGGTTTTCAGCGTCCGAAGACAACTGGAGATTTTGCGCCCGTTTCTGTTTCCCACGAATGAAAAAAAAAAAAAAAAAAACACTTTATTCTAAAATTTCGTACCATCAATTTGGCGCCCCCTGGATCCCCCCTTGCCTCACCCTAGCTACACCACTGGTTGCTCCTTCGGCTTCGTTCCACGAAGAGGCATGGATTCAAAAATATACGGAAGTGTTTCAGAGGCATGGCCTGCTAAACGGCTTCTACAATTTTCTATAAATCATTTAAAGGCGCTGGCGATAGATCATGTACTTCACTTTTTCCCAGAATATTCCAAAGGTTTTCAATGGTATTTAAGTTTGAGCTTCTCGTTAGTTATATAGGGAGATAAAATTCGGCGAAATGCTCCTGAAAAGAGGAGACAGAAAACTGGGATCAGTGACAGGGGCAGTTTAAAAGTTTGAATCTGCATTTGGACAGTCACGGCCGTTCAGTATATCTAGTCACAGAGAGTAGAAGCACCTACTACGTTTCGTCATTGCGGATAAGAAAGGCGCCTCTTTGAAAATAATGCAAAAGTATAATTAAATTGTAAGTTATACTTCAAAGGAACCATATCGAAATAGTTGAAATCTTACAGTATGCATAAGATGATTAAACATTTAGCTGTGCCTCAGCTTTTCAATGAAGGAGGCAAAATACGAGTAAATAGCAAAACAGGTTCTAAAACCCTGTAGTTACATATCTCAACACTGAACACTCAGTACAGACAGTAACTTATGTCTCGAAAACCATCTGCGGAAAACCCTGGAGGAAGAAAGAATTTTCTCAAGAAAGAGTGGTTTTGCTCCAGCTCCCAATTGAATGTTGCTACTGTGAAACTGACATATTGCCTGAAATCGATCCGTCAACATTAAAATACTCTGTATATTGTCTAGACTCGGTGATATAGTGCACTTTTTTTACTAAGGGCTGTTTTGTTGTATATACTAATAGGTGGGTCGCGCGCTGCCATGAGTACTTGCGTCGTGTCCCGGCATCCCTTGGAAACAACTGTGCTTATTTGCAGCTGCGTTAAGTAACCTATAAAGTCTGTTCTGTGTCTTTAAAATGTTCAAGATTATCGAATTGCCCGCCACACGCGAGGTACGGTCAATGATACGTTTTTTGTCGGCAAAAAAACATGCCTGCTGCAGACATTCACCGGCAGATTTCTGAAGTTTACGGAGCTACTGCCATGACCAAAGGTAAAGTACGTAATTGGGTCAGAGACTTCAAAGCTATCCGCGACAACGCCCATGATGAGCCGCGCTCCGGTCGCCCATCTTTGATCACAGACGATAAGGTAGCTTCAGCTGAAGTGAAAATTCTTGAAAACAGAAGCTTCACCAAAAGCACTCTTTCAAACAAATTTCTTGAACTGTCTAACTCAGTGCTATACAAGATTGTTTCTGAAATGTTGAGATTTAGGAAACTGTGCTCCCGTTGGGACCCTAAACTCCTAACGAAGGACCACAAAAACAAAAGATTTGAGTGTTCGCTGAATTTTTTTTATCGTTATAACGAAGAAGATGACGCCATGTGGAGCTGTATCGTAACGGGAGACGAAACGTGGGTTTCACATGTCACGGCCGAATGGAAACAACAGAGCATGGGTTGGAGACACACACACTCTCCTGTATAGATCAAGTCCAAACAGACTCTGTCCCAGCGAAAGATCATGGCGTCCGTGTTTTGGGATAGAATAGACATGATGGTCGACTTCATGCAACGCGGAACCGCCATAAATGCGGTAGCCTACTGCCAAACCCTACGAAAGCTACGCAGAGCGATTCAAAACAAAAGACGCGGCATGTTGTCAGAGGAAAGTTTGCTGCTCTATGACGATGCAAGGCCTCACACCGCAGCTCAGACCCGAGTTTTATTGGAATCTTTTGGCTACAAAGTTTTGAACCACCTCCTACAGCCCAGACCTTATGCCGAGTGATTTTCATCTTTTCCGCTATCTCAAACATCATCTCGGCGACAACCATTACAACGATGACGAAGACGTGAAAACTGTCGTGACCTCTTGGTTATTGCAGCCGGCAGCAAGTTTCTATGAAGAGGGTATTCAGAATCTAGTTATTAGTAAGTGTTTAAACAAACTTGACAACTACGTTGAAAAATAGAGACACGTGTGTAGAATCTGGAAATAAATTTAGTTTTTGAAAATTTTCTTTCGTGTGGTTTTTATTCTCAAACGACCCTTACTTAAAAAACATCCCTCGTAGGGCGCGAGAAGGTCTCCACAGATGAGGAAGTGAAACACGCCACGGCCACAGTGCGAAAGTTGGCACAAAACAATGCATTTCATTCTTCTGAAACGTTTTTACAAACGTTAACGTTATAAAAGCAGCAATTGAACAATAATGATTCAGATTTGAAAAAAAAATAAAAGATATGACTAGTCAAATCCTCTGAAAAACAAAATCGGTCTTAAAACGTTTCGATTACTCTACGTAAAATTAAAATTAGGATGAAAAAATTTTGCAATATCATATGCTCTTCTTATATATTCATTTCTAAAATTTTATTTAAAGTGTAATAAACAACTCTAACATTTGATATATATGCGTGTGAGTGCACATGTTCCGCACAATGTGGGAAACGGCGGCACATATAAAGCCACCAAATTTTACACATAGATAGTCCTCCACCCGAATATGTGCGATTTGAAAACCGGATTTTGAATTTGCTTTCGATTTATGCGAATTCAATGAAACTCTGATTAAAAACACAGCGATTTAATAGTAATGTGCTGCCGCTTGGCAAAGCGTAATGTATTTATTTACATTTCATACAAAATCGGCAATTTAAATGAAATATATTGCCACTGCCCAAAATATATTTTTATCTTCCACATGCCAGTGTATTGCCATTTAGGAAATTTATTTCATTTTTCTTCAAATTTAATCTAACTCCTAGCATCTTTCATTGCTGAAACAACTAAGCGATTTAAAAGCATTAGATACGCTTCATCTCTATTATTATTAATTAATACTTAGTTGGAAGAGTAAAATTACACTAGAATTAAAAATCATTACACACTTTTTAACATAATATCTATTTTAGGGGGCTGGCCGTGCAAATATTATATAATTCTTACCAATTTTTAATGCAGAATTCTCATTTGAAGTATTATTTAAAGTTTTCAGATAGTAAGTACACTTTTTTTTTTAAAGCTTGATTCGTTCATTAATGTCAAACTGGTCCTTTTCAGCTACAACAGTTCCGTAATATTAAGGAAGGAGATGGAGATGAGGCAGGCGAAAATCTCGTGGATAACTTCCGACCGGTCCAAGAACTGCATAGTCGTACAGTACAAATATCCGGAGATGAAAGTAGCACTGGAGCTATTGAGGTTCCATCAATGATGATGGTCCTCTCTGCCATCTCATTTTTTCTCTGAAAATGATTTATACATACAGAAGTCACTTTGGCAGCAAAATTCAATACAGCAGAGCTCAGAGGGTTAATGCCATTGGACTTACCTAAATTCCTCTTACTGATTACTGAATGGTTGCAGTTACGGAATTATATATGGCATTCATGTTATTTTGTATTAATAAGTTACAATAATCCTATTTATCAGAGCTTCATACTACACACTTTCAATATGGCAAAGTTGTGATCTCTCACGATACAACTGAGTGTTCATCAAGCATTTTGTATGGCTTATTAAATATTCAAACTGGCTTCAATATTCAAAGCTAGACATTTATTTGGAAAATAAACTGCGTTTTCAGTTATGCATTTTATATATATATAGATACACGAGGGCATTTCGAAAAATAAAGATACAATGGCTCGCATTCCTTACAAAAAACATTTATTTAGAAAACGTCAGTTATATCTTATTAAATGTATTATTTATTATTTTTCGACATAATCACTCCCGTTATCCAAACATTTGTTAAGTCTGTGCACAAGCTTTTGTATTCCATAGTCATAGAAGGTTGCCGCCTGTTGGAACTCGGCGCGCACACAATTTCCTGTACCCTAACTTGACAGTCACAACTTCATAAAGAGTTGTCATTGACACTTCCGGTATGATCTGATGCAATTCTTTCAATTTGAGACGTCTATTCGCACGAATTGCTTCCTCTGTTCTCTGAAGAAGGGCATCAGAGATCACAGATGGCCAACCTGTTCTTTGTTCGTCATGGACATCAGTCCTACCTTCAGAGAAATGACGACACCATTTCGTTACATTTTATCGATTCATAATGTTCCCATAAACAGAAACAATTTCTTTGTGAATATCCCCTGGTCGCTGACCTTTTGCATGAAGAAAACGTATGACGGAGCGCACTTCGCATTTGGCGGGATTCTGAATCGGCGCAGCCATTTTGAACACGACCTACTCCAACCAGAATCAACGTGAAATGCCGAACGACCGCGAGGAGAAAGCTAACGGTTCAAGGTTAACACCTGTGTTGCCAACTTGTTCACCAAAACTTTTCTTTTCCTCTGGCGTATGGTGTATCTTTACTTTTCGAAGTGTTCTAGTACATGTGTATATAAAGAACGTAATCTGAAAGTGTAAAATTCTTTTACTTTTTATAACACTTTAATCTTATGCATACAAAACTCGAAAACTCATGTACAAATTTTCCTTCGTACCAAACTGCGTTGTTGCCATAATTTAACGCACAGTTATGCCCAGCCTTCATTACTCGAAGCTAATGTGACAAAAACTGGATTTGTATAATCAAAATTCATGTGAAAAGAATTACTCCAAACAAAGCATTTATTCTTGAACATTGCATAATTCATTTTAATTAAATATATATTTATTTTCAAGCACTAAATTTCTTCCTCTATACTAATACATATTTTTTAACAAAGTACAAAATTTCTGAACCTCTTGTAATTTTGAAACAATTAACATTTGATTTTCCCAAATAATATTTTGCAGCTAGTGCACTAGGTATCTCAGGCTCCTTTTAAAAACTCATCATTTTTTGTCTTGCCTTTAACCAAAAGCACGGATTCCTTGATATTTAAACACCATAATTAAGAATAGTATACTCTTAAAACCATTCCTTTTTTTTTTAATCCAGCCCCTTGCCTTTAAACGAAAGCACAGACTCCTTCATATTTAAACACTATGATTAAGAATAGTGTATACACACAAAACCATTCCTTTTTTTAATCCAGCCCCGAAGCTCTTAAATTCTGTATTTGTTAGACTGCTTTGCATTAACCGTCTAAGCGGCAAGGCCGTAGTATATATACGGCCTAGAATATTTTTTGTGATATCTAAAAGAATGTACATATACGTGCATATTTAAAATATATCAAAGAAATTAAGACAATATATCAAAAGTACACAAATCCAGGTATGAAATACCAGGAGAGGTTTTACATTAAAATCAAAAAATAATTTGTTCTCATAGTAGTTTTGGGAAATTTGTACTTTCTTAGCTAAAACCCTGGCCGCTCAGAGGGTTAATGGCATATTTTATACTACTTACGTTAAGCCAAGTCTAGCAGAAGAACAAGAACTTAAAATACAAATGAAATCAAAGATAACTAAATTTTTGTTTTGTAAGGGCTTTATTTTATTCTAACCAATCATTTTTAGTTTTACTTTCCTTTTCCTCCTGATTTCAGTTTCCTGCCGGGATGTAAATTTTTAATGACGTATTATGCTAATCTAAGCGTGTTTCAGAAGCAGTATTTAGGCTATGTTTCAAGAGTTCGTAACGGAGTTAGTTCCAATGTTTATGCTGCGTGTTTGAAATTAGCTCTCTAATCGGTGTTAAACACCTTTCAGATTATACTGATATTTCTAAACTCGGCTTAGATGTGTGCAGCCAATTTAGCGGTAGTTAAGTTAAGGAGCCAGTCAAATTTATTAATGATTTGTCACATTTTTATTTTCTGTTAAATTTAAGTTAGCCGCAAGTGGTTGTGAATTGTTAGCACCAATTGCGTGCATCTGTTTATTTCAGTTCGAATAAAAAGGTTATTTAAAGCTTCTTCTGCAGTATTTACTCTTCAAAGATATAGCGACCATTTGCTTTCGTCTTTTACGTACAGTCCACATTGCTCCCAAAAAAGAACACAGAGACTCTATAGTTTGAACCATAGTAGGTGGTCAAACTTGGATTTCACCAACTTGTAATCACACAACACAACTACATCATCATTACTGCTCATCATTTACAATTATGAATTTCTCTAAATAAAATACCCAGCAATTGCTCAGCAGCACAATAGCTAAACAGTGATGATTCAATCTACATTTAAATCCTACCTAGCAAATGGGCTGGCAGCATGGGAATTTTTATGGTTTTCCCCACCTGTAAAGTGAATATCAGCTAGTTTCCCTTAAAACGTCTTCCTTAATGGCATCCCTTGCATGATTTGCTAAAATGCAAATAATTCTATCCAATCTCCAAATTAGATAAAAGCGAATGGCCGAGTGGTTAAGAGTGCTGAATGCTAGTAGTCTGATGTAGATTAAAATCTGGTGCAAGGGCTGGTTGTATGGGCAGTTTCGTGGTTTTTCTTTATGTAAATATGGCTTAAAAAGTAATGTAAATATGGTTTAAAATAATATCCTCTTAAAAAGTCTTCCATAAAGCATCCTGCCCCTTAGGCAGATGATCATCGTGAGCTTTTCCCCAACCAGTTCACCCTACTAACTCAACAACTGAACACTTGGAAGTCCAGCTTCCAAGGTATCGTTCAGTGAAATCATTCCTGGAGCAAGCGAGGAGGCATCAAAAACAATTCTCCACTTGGTTTCAGATTGTGTTTTCTTTTTTACAGCATGATGAGGAAGGTAATATACTGGCTTCTCATTGGATTCATCTATGGAACAAACTTCAACATGCTTTCTTTCAATGTAATTCAGCATGCATTTGTCATATTGTATCTTTAACACATCACTAGATGCAAGTCTTTTTTGAAGAGAATGAAATCTGTTTTCCGCTACAATTTTGTTTGTAGGCAAAGGTGTGACCAATAGTTTTCTAGGCAGAGACACAATTCTTCGATTGTTTTCAGTGCTGTAAGTTTTGTGAAATTCTGATAAAATTTCTCCATCTCGAGTAGTCATTCTTCGTTTCTGCGCATCTTGTATCCCTAGGGAGTCTAATTCCCAGAAGCGACGTACCTGATCATTTAAACAATCAGTTTTAACTTGCACACAAACTTGATGGACAGAAGTCTTCTCAGCGATTGTAGTATGTGTTCTTGTTCCACTAAGAACCCATCCAAACACTGACGGTACCATAACAAAAGATTCTGAAAGCTTGATTGGAGCTTCTGCGGAAACAATTTGCCAATAATGATCACCACCAATAAGTATTTCTATGGGCAGTGAAGCGTCATCCGGAGGATCAGCAATTCTCAATCTTCTCTCTTTCTTCTGAGCAAAGTGAACTATTTCTGGTGGAGCAGTAGGATGTGTAGTATAGGAATTGGAGCTTTCAAATGCGGAGATCAAAAATGCTTGGTTGCTCCACAAACTTGAAAGTGACAGTTGAACACATCTACGTTGTTCTTGTGAAGTAAAAGATTCAAATGCTTGAACTGAAAGTGAGGCAGAACTGACAACTTTAAGCTTAAGTTTTTCAATGAGGTTTGTGTGAACAAAACTTGCTTGGCTACCACCATCTAAAATGCAGCGTGTTAATTTAGTAATGCCTGTGGGGCCAGTAACATACACACGAGCAGTTTGCAAATGTGTGAAAATTGTTTTAGGAAAGGTTATGTGATTTACAGCACTGTTAGTTATCCGCAGTTGATTGTTTTCAACAGGAGGACAAATAGAAACATGATGCCTTTTCTTGCATTTAGTGCATCGTGCAGTATTTTTTCTTGGGCAGTTTGAAACTCTATGACCACGGTTAGTACACAGAAAGCAGCGATTTGAAGTTTTAAGTTTCTGAACACGAGTATCATAGTCTGTAACAGTTTCACAATATTGAGGCCAATGTCCTGTAGTATCACAAAATGAACAAAATGGTGAAATTTTCTTACGTTTGTTTACTGTTTTGGAATTGATATTAAAATTTTCTACAGTGCACTTTACGGTGTGATCAGAAAAAGACGTACCTTTAACTCTTTGTGCTGCAACTACACCTTCCACTTCTTCTGCCAAGAACTGCATCAATCTAGTAATATTACCTTCGTTTAGTTTTTCACGCTTGGCATAGATAATCCAGCGGCAACAAATATCATTGGGGAATGCACGAATAATTTTTGGCACTAGGATTCTACCGTATGCTTCAATATTTTCACCCAGAGCAGTTAAAGCTTGAATTCTTCTGTTACATTCTATGTAAAGATCATTTAGATGCGTAGGAGATGGGTCTTGAATAACATTTAAATGTTCTAAGTAATCTAAGTGTGATTGGATAATTCGATCTTTATTTCCATATCTTTCCTCCAACAATTTTTTTGTTGTTTCATAGGTGTCTACTATTACACTAATTCCATCAACAAGGCGTTTAGCTTAACCATCTAAATAACCTCTGAGGAAAACATGTTTATCAATAACAGAAAGATGTGGATTGGCATCTATAGAAGATTTAAACTGTTCCCAAAAACATTGCCAATGCTCCTGTAAATGATTGCAGTTTAATTGTTGGCAATTTAACTGTATATGGTTGAGTCATAGGCACTGTAGTAGGAGGGTCGCCAAATGTCATCGCTAAATCATTGGTATCTATATTCGAAGTAGTAACATTATTTGCAGTTGGCGATAATTTTTCGTGCTTTGAAAATCACGGAT